GACTCTGCAGAAGTGCGCCCGGGCGGCTCATCCTGACCAGCCACTTCAGATACTCCGTCATTGTACTGGCCGAGGCCGCTGTTTTCTCGGAGAGAAAATTTAGCTCTGACCAGTATGCCTGTCGTAGCGTCCCTGATAGATGTTTCGCCCGTTTCAACCTTCACTTTGCACTCGGCTATGTTCTTGGCCATAGACGATGTCTTCTTCAATTCAGTGGCTGTTGACCTGACGCTAGTGATTTGTCCTGGCGGAGACTCAATGGCTCCTCGGACTTGGAYTGTGCGCGGTTGCAGGTTCGTAAAGCGGAATTTGATAAAGCGTAGCAGGGCTTCGGCCACAACTTCGACACATGCATCCAGACTCTCGAATGCTGTAGCTTGACAAATCCGGCCGACAATCATGTCCGCTGCCTTCCGTAGATAGAAGACCTCGTCGCTGATTGTGGACGTACAATCGCTATTCGATGGCACGCCACCATCGAGGTATACTCTGGCGACGAGGTTTATGAAGAAATGTATTTGCTGTGTCTCGTTTCCAAGCTTGATTGGGACACCAAGAATACCTGGGACGTGTATCCTGACTTCGATATAACCCAGAGCTGGGGTGTGTACGAATTGAAGCGCTGCGGGGTCGACATCCCACGAGCGAACCAATCCCCAGCGTTGGACACGACTCACTCCAGCCTGGCTCATGTCAGATATAGCCGAAGCCGAAGACGAAAGGCCCCCACAATGGCCGTCAAGGATGAAGCTCGGACTCGAGGGCGACGCTTCGTATATGCGCATGGCCGCGTATATAAGAGCTGCAAAGCCTTTAGCATCCGACACCTGGCAGTGGCGATCCAACTCCTCAAGCACTGGTAGTTGCTTGTCTACATAATTGGGGGAGGRGGAATTAGCAATCACTCTGAACGTGACGTCCGCGCCCAGCTTCACGTGGGTGGTTTCCGAGCTATGATGTCCAGTTAGCGAGGACTGTAGGTATGATGCATATCTGAAACATTCAAACTCACGGCTTCCAGTATTTGGTGTCTCTTTGTGGTGCGACCGAGCTTCTTTTGGGCTCAATTCTCACTACAGCTTCGTTATGGTTTTCACTTTCGATCGGTGTCCCAGTGGCTGTCAGCTCCTTTGGGTCTTCTGACGGTAGATCGATAGCAGAGTTGGACTCTAGCATTGGCAAAGATACCGGCATAAGAGCGTCGGTCTTAATCGAACCATCATGGTTCAGAAGAATGTTTTGAACCAAGCGCTGATTCCCGGCTCCGTGTATCAAGATGATGCCAAGATGATTGAGATCGAGCGCAGCCGCGATGGGTGAAGAGGGAAGATACGATGTTAGCCTCAGTCGAATAGTTGATGCAACGGAAGCAGCGGACTCAAAATGCTTTTGCTCCATGACAGCGCACACGCTTTGTTTTGCCAGATCATCGACGATGGATTGCAAGGGGCTGCTACATCCATGTCCCGCTGACTGGCCGGACGTGGGATTCTGTGGCTGATAGGCCTTGAGACTTCCCTTTATCACCAGATGGAGGTTCATGTCGCGAGGATTCTGTCCATCAATCTTCACGCCGGAAAAGCGAAATATCCGTGCCGTAGCAGCTTGGAAACTTAGCAAAGGTCGAGAGAGGAGATTGCGACCATCAGCAGATTTTCCAAGCTGGCAAACCAGGTTCCAAGTCCTGTTAGGGCCCGCGAGAGACTTCCCAGGTAGCGAGAAGACGTGGGCGTGCACATCGCGAGAGCTCGCTTGAGAACGCAGAGCCCCAAGCGCAACCAGATAGAGGTAGTAACAAGCCGACCAAACACTTTCCAAAAGAAGCCCCGTGTTTTCTTGGAATAGGTTGCGAAGCTTTTCACGATGCGAGTGTGGGTAGCTCGAGGCGTTGATGGGTCCGTGCGAATACAGCTGCAAGGCGGCACTTGCACATCCCATTTTATGTAGGCCACTGATATGATCAGTAGGGTGGGGTAGGCGGGAGGAATGGACGATACTAACGTCGCAAACGTTCCCGTCGAGTACATGTGGTGTCCCAATTCCGGTCGGAGGGTCGAGGTATGTACTGGGTGATCATGCCCGGGTACAGGTTCAAAGTTCACATGCTTGGGATGATGACCTTGATCACGTACTGGCTGTCGATTCATGGACCATGGCCCACGAGCCTGCCTGGTGATTTGCAAGGAGGAAGGCAACGCATTCTTGCGAGGAGCTCGGCGTGCTCGAGATGTCGAGGACACGCTTGTTGGGGTGAATCGAAGTCTCATATCGGCGGGGCCATGCTGCAAATGTAAGCAACAATCGTGTTTTGTCGTCTGGATGGAATTCGGCGCAAGACCAATGCTTCGCGACGACACGTGAGAAAAGTTGAAGTGAGGTTGACGCGTTTTCCCACGTGTTTATGCAGCTCCACACTTTTACGGTGCGCKTTTAGCGACAACTCTGCAACAATCTTTTTTTAGTAGAACTAAGGTACACTACTCACGCTACCTCGGAATATGACCGTTCCGAGAGGTTAGCGGTGATTTTTAGTTATTATACGGGCGCTTCCGATATAGCCTCTTTATCTAGTATATAGATATAGTCCTAATCGATAGATTAATCGTAGAAGTAAAGTTATCTAAAGCCTATATCTATAACTATATATTAGGCACTCCCTTTATATAGTAGATAGATCGAGAAATGGATATACGCCCGTATAATACGTTTACGACTATTAAAGTAGTACTATATAGATATCTATTAAAGGAACGAACGAAACTACTAAAAACAACTCCTCTCTAAACTTACGAAGTACCTACTATCTTTATTCTTATCGCAACCTTTTAGATTAACGACGCTTCGACCGATTACGCGTACAATTTGCGGGTAGTTTACTCGTGTTCTTAGATAATTGCGAAACCTTCGAGATCGTCCGCTTATAGCTTAAACCTCCTAGGGTAGGATGTTATTACTCTACTTCCTCGGTTCCTAGCTCTCCCTTAATTTCTAGCTCTCCCTTAATCTATAATCGAGTAAGTAGCTATCTTT